GTAAATGATTTGTTTTTGCAGTTATATGCTATTATATTATAACCATAATATGATTAATGTTACTAGGGCAGGACATGATGTAACTGTCACTATCTAATCAATAAATCAATCAATTACTGGGTACATAACCTGTCATTTTGCCTTTAACATCATATCTTTATCCCTCAAGTTTCTATTAAAACCCAGACAGAAATTGTCCAAAACCCAGACAGAAATTGTCCAACATTATGATGTCTCATTCAGATTTATATTTGCAACAATGTGTAATGATTAAAATAAGCTAGTGTCAAAAACAGAAGCAAGACATTAAAGCCTGCTGAACAAAATTAAGCACGATTAATGGTTAAAGTATTACTGGAAAACTAACAATTTACATTATTCTAACAATGAGATTTGAGTATTCTAACAGAAAAGTTTGTTTTTTCGGCATCTTAATTCAAAAGTAGCATCAAGTTGTATGCTACAATGCCGTCATTTTCCTCGGGCAATATCACCGTTACAGGACGACGCAACAGCCCTGTTTCTCTTTATCCTGAACACTCTCAGACATTTTTATTTTCTCTATTTTGACAGTAGATCGTCGTGGAAGAGTGGTGCGACGAGCCAGTTTCGCCACTTTCATAGCACGCAATAGATCATAGAACGCCTGTAAAGCAAACGTAACAAAGATTCTCCTTTTATATACATGTAATCATTTCTACCATCTTCATCAGTAACGTAACTTTTATTTCCACTTTAAATCTTCTTCCATATACTCACTGTGAACTTCAGTTGCCAAAGTTTTATCTTCAATATCTTTAAATATTATTGCCAGAAAAATCCCCTTTTTAAGGCTATGATTAAAGTTTGATATCTGTAGGTCATGGTGACCTTGACCTTTGCCCCAGTGATCTCTCTGTGTGTTTTACAGGGATTTTGAAGGCTGAGGATGGAATGACTTGTGAGGCCTGTGTTTCTGTGTTTATGTTTGGTATTTGAAGCTCAAAATGACCTTGACCCAATGACCTCTTATTTGGTCTTGCAGGTAGTATATCAACATGCATACATTTGTGTAGTTTGAAGGATGTGCATTGAATGACTTCTATTTATGACCATGTACTATTTCATTTTGGAGGTCACAGTGACCTTGACCCCCATGACCTCTAAGCAGATCTTGTGGGTATAGTGCATCAAGGTATGCACATTTGTGAAATTTGAGGACGTTGGATGGAAGGACTTGATTCATGGCCATGATTAATATCTGATATTATGATGTCAGTGACCTTGACCTTTGATTCTGTTACCTCAATGTGGGTCTAGCCTAAGGAACTCATTAAGGTGCATACACATATGAAATAATGATGCTTTGCATAGAATATTCACAGAAACCACAAATAAGTTTTATGTTGGCTTCTGTTCAAATCAATTTTGAGCATGATTTCTTTTGATAAGGCTAAAAATATAAATTCATACAATATAATGGCAAGGATTGTAATAGATAGCCACTAATTACTCTAGGAAGATATCTTCAAAAACCATTACCATACTTTTTATTACTACATTACAGGTGAAATTGTTGATAAAACAAGTTCCCATATTAATCACTTTTCTAACATTATTTTGATAAGTTACAATAATGAAATCCATAATTTTTCTTTTAATCTCACACAAATTTCTTTGAATTCTAAATAAATTCCAGAAAAATCCAATCCCTTATTTATTTCTTTCAATGAAAAATTCTAAGAACTTTACAACCAAAAAAACTTAAACATATGCCAAGCTGTGCATAATTTCACAGTTTAAGATTATTGCCATAAATAAGTTGTTAGAAAAAACAGTGTTTGGATGTCTGTCCCAAAAGTTCATGCTTAAAAGGACCGTAACTCAAAGACTTAAGAAAACTCCTATAAAATTTCAATGGCTTCTAAATGAAGATGTTACAGTGAGATCCTGAGTTCCTGGTATTCTGTACCGCTATGAACATGTTTCTACACAAGTGTGACTGTAAATTTATTCAGATCTTAAATGTAACCTAAAGATCATAAGAAAACAATCCTGTTGATTTAAAGACTCAAACCTGCCTTACAGCTAGGTCTGTGAGAGCCTATTTTGCTACAACTTTTTATCTGTAATCCAGACCTTCCTCCCAACTCAGATATGAAGGCAAAAATAATACACTGTAAGAGTGTTATATTCTTTCATTCACACATAAGTCACTACCGGAAATCTATACAGGATGCTTCTTCTCTGAACATGTTCCTCAATTATAATTGGGAGAAAAGCACAAGGAGCACCAAGATTTTCTATCCCTGAGTAATCAACAAGTGTTTAAGGTGCATAGATGTAAATCCTCAATATTTAAAAGTTTTATCTGAAAGACTGTAAACTATGTAGTTTTTTTTTGGAGTTGTTAGGGATTAAAGTTGTCATCTATGGTAGCTGTAAGACAGTGTCAACACTAAACCTCAGTCCTAGCTGTGGGACTATTAAAGTAGGTACACCATGTATTATCATGTATTATTACTCCAATTTCAACTAGGGAATATTATATACTTTAATAAACCTCTCTCTCTTTGCTTTTTAACCCTTACAATGTTAAACTAGAACTGCCACTATCATGGCGTGAATACCCCCGCATACCACTTTGTCAGAATCAACAGTGGCCATTTAGAGCTCAAGGACAACCTCCCTGCCAAATCTGAGGTTACTAAGCCAGTGCATTGCTAAGTTATGTATTCTACATTTTTCAAATGTGAAAATGTCAAAATCAATTACAATACATTGCGGACAGGACATTCTTTAGCAATTGAGAAGAAAAGCTTTTTTTTGTCAAGGTCCCTGTGACCTTGACCTTTGACCCAGTGACCTCAAAATCAATAGGGGTCACCTTATAGTCATGATCAACTTCCATGCCAAATATGAAGACTGTGGGTCAAAGGAATCTTAAGTTAATGGGTGGACAAACTTTTTGAAGTCAAAGTCCCTATGACCTTGACCTTTGATCAAGTGACCTCAAAATCAAAAGGGGTCATCTACTAATCATGATCAACATCCATGTCAAATATGAAGACTGTGGGTCAAAAGAATCTAAAGTTATTGGGCAGATAAACTTTTTGAAGTCAAAGTCCCTGTGACCTTGACCTTTGACCTGGTGACCTCAAAATCAATAGGGGTCATCTACTAATCATGACTAACCTCCATTCCAAATATGAAGACTGTGGGTCAAAGGAATCTTAAGTTATTGGGCGGACAAGCTTTTTGAAGTCAAGGCCCCTGTGACCTTTACCTTTGACCTGGTGACCTCAAAACCAATAGGGGTCATCTACTAATCATGATTAGTCTCCATGCCAAATATGAAGACTGTGGGTCAAAGGAATCTTAAGTTATTAGGTGGACAAGCTTTTTGAAGTCAAGGCCCCTGTGACCTTGACCTTTGACCTGGTGACCTCAAAATCAATAGGGGTCATCTACTAATCATGACTAACCTCAATGCCAAATATGAAGACTATGGGTCAAAGGAATCTTAAGTAATTGGGCGGACAAGCTTTTTGAAGTCAATGCCCCTGTGACCTTGACCTTTGACCTGGTGACCTCAAAATCAATAGGGGTCATCTACTAATCATGACTAGCCTCCATGCTAAATATGAAGACTGTGGGTCAAAGGAATCTTAAGTTATTGGGCAGACAACATTTTTTAAGTCAAGGCCCCTGTGACCTTGACCTTTGACCTGGTGACCTCAAAATCAACAGGGGTCATCTACTAATCATGATTAATCTCCATGCTAAATATGAAGACTGTAGGTCAAAGGAATCTTAAGTTATTGGGCGGACAAGCTTTTTGAAGTCAAGGCCCCTGTGACCTTGACCTTTGACCTGGTGACCTTAAAATCAATAGGGGTCATCTACTAATCATGACTAACCTCCATGCCAAATATGAAGACTGTAGGTCAAAGGAATCTTAAGTTATTGGGCGGACAAGCTTTTTGAAGTCAAGGCCCCTGTGACCTTGACCTTTGACCTGGTGACCTCAAAATCAATAGGGGTCATCTACCAATCATGACTAACATCCATGCCAAATATGAAGACTGTAGGTCAAAGGAATCTTAAGTTATTGGGCGGATAAGCTTTTTGAAGTCAAGGCCCCTGTGACCTTGACCTTTGACCTATTGACCTCAAAATCAATAGGGATCATCTACTAATCATGACTAACCTCCATGCCAAATATGAAGACTAAGGGTCAAAGGAATCTTAAGTTATTGGGCGGACAAGAAAAAACCGACGGCCGGACGGACAGCCGGACGGACGGACGGACAAGCTGATTCCAGTATACCCCCCTTACAACTTTGTTGTGCGGGGGTATAATAAAAGTATCTTAAATAGACTTGCCCATCTTTTCAAAATTGACAAAATTATTTATCAATTTTTAAAGGAAAAATCCAAAATATGTACAGAATAAATAGTGACCAAAACAAACAGTACAGACCCTGATCAGAAGACATGGATGTACCTGCTGATCTTTGTCTGTACTGGTTGCATGGGCAGTTCTTATTGCTGCCAGCAGGCTAAACGCCAAAACATTGTTAACATAAATTTTAAAAAATATGGTTAATGGTTAATATTTGACAATGCAAAAAAGGTTAATATTTCATGACATTAATTTGTGTTAGAAATAATACAATTAGATAATAAGATGACTTCAATCATACATGTAGAAAACTCATTGTTAAATACATCTCTTCCTAGATTAACTTTCAAAGCCAATCACTTCATGAACAAGTGTCAGGTTTCTAAGAAAAAAATAAACAACTTTCTAAGTAAACACTTATTGAAGTCCTTTACACACCAGACAAACACTTAAAATAAAACTAAATTTCCGTATCTAGGTCAAGTGCATGTTATTGTTAATGAAACTATTGTTGTATATCTTATACTGTCATTAATTTTGTAGCACTCAACTGTTCTATAACGGCATTTAAAACTTAATTGAAGAAGAGATGTTTACGGAAATATAGTAATTTTACCTTATCTACATTAGCTCTAGTTTTGGCCGATGTTTCTACGTATGTTACATTCCAACTGTGAGCACGTTGATTTGCCTCCTCTGCAGATACCTGCCGGTTCTCGAGGTCAGCTTTGTTACCAACCAACAAAAACGGAATGTTGTCATCACTCTTCACACGTAAAATTTGCTCTCTACAAATACAACAATATCATATGTAACAAAATCTGCTCTCTACAAATACAACAATATCATATGTAACAAAATCTGCTCTCTACAAATACAACAATATCATATGTAACAAAATCTGCTCTCTACAAATACAACAATATCATATGTAACAAGACCAGTATGAACTAGAACTGCCACTATCATGGTGTGAATACCCCCGCATACCACTTTGTCAGAATCAACAGTGGCCATTTAGAGCTCAAGGACAACCTCCCTGCCAAATCTGAGGTTACTAAGCCAGTGCATTGCTAAGTTATGTATTCTATATGCTTCAAATGTGAAAATGTCAAAATCAATACATTGCGGACAGGACATTCTTTAGCAATTGAGAAGAAAAGCATTTTTTTGTCAAGGTCCCTGTGACCTTGACCTTTGACCCAGTGACCTCAAAATCAATAGGGGTCACCTTATAGTCATGATCAACATCCATGCCAAATATGAAGACTGTGGGTCAAAGGAATCTAAAGTTATTGGGCAGACAAACTTTTTGAAGTCAAAGTCCCTGTGACCTTGACCTTTGACCTGGTGACCTCAAAATCAATAGGGGTCATCTACTAATCATGACTAACCTCCATTCCAAATATGAAGACTGTGGGTCAAAGGAATCTTAAGTTATTGGGCGGACAAGCTTTTTGAAGTCAAGGCCCCTGTGACCTTGACCTTTGACCTGGTGACCTCAAAATCAATAGGGGTCATCTACTAATCATGACTAACCTCCATGCCAAATATGACGACTGTAGGTCAAAGGAATCTTAAGTTATTGGGCGGACAAGCTTTTTGAAGTCAAGGCCCCTGTGACCTTGACCTTTGACCTGGTGACCTCAAAATCAATAGGGGTCATCTACTAATCATGACTAACCTCCATGCCAAATATGACGACTGTAGGTCAAAGGAATCTTAAGTTATTGGGCGGACAAGCTTTTTGAAGTCAAGGCCCCTGTGACCTTGACCTTTGACCTAGTGACCTCAAAATCAATAGGGGTCATCTACTAATCATGACTAACCTCCATGCCAAATATGAAGACTAAGGGTCAAAGGAATCTTAAGTTATAGGGCGGACAAGAAAAAACCGACGGACGGACGGACGGACGGACGGACGGACGGACAAGCTGATTCCAGTATACCCCCCTTACAACTTTGTTGTGCGGGGGTATAAATACAAACGTATTTTTATAGAATCCTAATAGAAGTCAAAATCCCAATTTACAATGCCATTGAAAATCCCCCAGGGTTAGGGGGAACAGTACCTGTACCCTAAGGAGAGAGAATTTGTTGTTTTCCCTTGTAGGAGGGATTTCAGACATTTTTTACAGCACATATATATGTATAACATAGTGACAATACTCATGTTGTTAATGAACATATTCATTAGGATATTGTTAAGGGTCTCCTTCTTTCAGCGGAATATTGTCAGTATAAGATGTTTTTCTTTTTTTAAAAAAAAGGGGATTTTTTTTTAAAAGGTGGGAAAATAATACTTTTTGAGGGGTAACAGTGCCAAATTTCAGAACAAAGTTTGTGAATTGAGGGCTCTAGCTGATCTAGCTGATCCCCAAATCTATTTGAAAAAAAGTTTTCCAAAAGTTTACATTATAACTGCGAACCGACTCAATGTTTTAGGTATATACACCTTTTTTTTTATTAAAGATCTCTAGGAATGTGAAATTGCCACCAGTATTGAAGAAAGTCCAGTGTGTACACTCATATTATGTAAAGGACCAGGCAGGTATTTTTTCTTTTCATGTAACAGAAATAGAAGTCCTTTTCAATTCTGTCCAGATACTATATACATGTAGATTGTTGCTCAACTTGATTATTTAAATATGTAGAAACCCATTCAATTGCTACAAATGAACAATTTAAATTCTGTATATACATGTACTATTATTAAGTAAGTCCTTCATATAATTTCAGAAAAGTAAGGGTAAAAAAGTTTTTTTGGTCTTGACTTAAAATCCCTAACACTGAAGGTAACTAACAAACAATGTTCTTGTCAATAAATCTTTCAATTGATCATTTTAGGGAAATTTTCAAGGTGACTTCTGATTGAATAGCAAATAACAGTGTAGACCATGATCTGATGGCATGGATATGTTGTCTGTTCTTGGTTTACACTGATCGCTGTGCCCCCTGGCTAATGGTTAAATACAGGAAGAGCCTCATACACAAAGAAAAACACTTAAACTACATGTATAGGGCTGAACCTACCATACTTGAAAACTCTTCATCTTATACACTACCACAATATCATCCTATTTCATTTGTTTAATGAATTATAATTTTTGTTCCTCCATTCTTCTGATAAAGTACATGGTTAACCTTATATTAGCATCTTAAGATTTTTGTCAAGAAGTATGTCAATTCTGATTGTTTGACATAAGTGTGGTGGATTAAGCACTATGTTTAATTTACCTCAATATCAAAATAATAGAAGAGTTAACAAACTTTCCTTGTAGACTAAAAACAACTCCTTTTTTTCAATTGTCTAACTGACCTTAGCTCAACAAATTAAGGGAGAGTATCGGATTAGTAGTCTTGGGGTCGCTGGTTCAATCTTCAGGCGAGACATAAATTTATCTCAGATAACAAGTCTAATGGTTATTTGTCTCTCAACACTGATTCAGAAATTATTTGAGATTTATAGTGGGTCATGTGCAGAGAAATTAGTATTAACTGGTTAGTTATCCAGGAAAGCCAGTTAAGGGTAGATCTTCTATCTAGATAAGACCAAAAATATGTTAAAATCAGCATAAAAACCAGAAAAATCGACAAACTATTTTTAGCCTATTTGACAACTTTTCTGTGCAACAAAAAAAGTGTATTTTCTGAATTTATTACTATTATTAATTCACTTTTACATGATTACATTAATAAATTGTGTATTATTTCCTTTATTTCCATAACCCAGGTGTCTATCTGCAGGTCTGTCTACAGGTTAATTCAGAATCAAATGTTTGACCTGGCTTGTCAAAAATCTACTGGTATATATCATAAGTTCATAACATAAAAAATATAAATGTTCTATAACATATACAAAAACTTCTCAGCTCAAAACAATCTAAAGTCAGGTTCTACAACATGATAATCATTTCACTTACAATAACTCATTCTGAAACACTGTTATCAGTGAAAATCATATGAGAAAAAATACAAACAGTGGGAAAATCATTCAGTGAGACAATACCACTGGAACTAATAATCTTATATTCTATAGAAAATGGGTACTATACTTTTGTATAAACACCTAATTGTACTCAATCTTACTTTAATTTCTGAAAGAACAATTCACAATCTCTATTATTAAAACTTCTGAGAATTCCATGAGAAACATTGCTCAGACTGAAGCCTGCCAGTCATATGTCAATGTTCATGCTAAAACATGTTAATATGCATGCAAACTCTGCACACTTCTGATAAAATTGTTATAACAGAACTGATAGTTATTATAGAACTTAACAATTTAAGAACTAGTTGGTAGGGACAGAGAATATAATGTGTTGTCTTGTTGTAATTTAGTCATCTGTTTAATGGTATTTTTATCACCTACAGCCAGGTAGTTTAAAATACCATAAAGCTCCTTTAGCTGTACCAGTACTAACCTGTTGTTTTCAATTCTTTAAACAAATCAATGAAAACACTTATGGAGGACATTAGTGACCAACAAATGTGCCTTGCCAAGTAGCCAAACAAACTTTATGCAAGGTTCAAGGCAGCACAGCCATTGACAAAAGCTTGAAAATGAAGAATCAAATGTCCCTGACAAGAGCTCAATATTTAAACTATATTCAATATTCAAGCATGAACCCAGGTCCTTGACTAACAAGAGTAAAAGGTCCTGGACTAAAATCACACAGTCATAAATCCAAGCTCAAACAAGAATACAAGATTATAGACTGCACATTCCCTCTAACAATTGGTCAAACAGGAACCTAAGAACCAACCTGAATTACATGGCCCTTGACTAGAGCTGAAACATGATTGCAAGGCCCATCCATACATTGAGGCCCATTGATATATTATTATAGTCACATCTAACTGATCTAGCTTCATAGAATACAGGATCAATGTGACACAGAACAAAATGTATAAAATATTCTTATCAGGTATGTATATCTGACCATGTCTTTCTTTCCTTCAAGAAAGAAAATTCTCTGGCACTAAAACAACACATTTCTGTCACTGTAATTCAAACAGTAACCCTTGTTAATTTCATGTTTACACTATAATGATATACCTACGATATGACTGCTTTTAACCAGAAGCCAAGATAAAACAACAATACTGATACATCCAATCACCTTCTAACAGAATAGCTAGAGTTTTATTTTATTTTTACAACTATTACCAACATGACAAATTTATTTTGATCACTATGATGTGGCCAAAATGTTCAGTTAATCAGGCTAATTAAGGGGTGCTGGATCCTTAAAACAGAATGTCAAATGGTTAAGAAGAGTTTGGTGCAGCCTGACCTATAAATATATTAGTCTATGCATAATCTCCAACTGATTGTTCATATCATGAGCTGACAGTCCCTTATACCTTCACAAGGTTTCAAAGTACATAATTTTACACCTTGGAAATTTTGGAGTACTGCGACAATTTAAAGGCTTTTCAATAAAGAATGTGCTGAATTCATATAATGGATTTCCCCTGCTTTAGCTGTTAGTTCACTGATTTTCAGTAGTGGGATGACCTGAACCATGACTTCTGTCACAGATAACCTAATCACCATCATGATAATCATATCTGATTTTTTTCAACAGATAAAAACTATCCCAGTATATCTATGTAAAGTACAATATTATCATATTAAAATGTAAGTAAAAAAACCTACAGGTATGAAAACAAACTGTACAAGAATTATCAATCATCAAACAAGATTCTGTACTATTAAATGATATATGATTAACTTTAGCCTGTTTATACTGAAAATCTGATATTACTGACAGTTTCAAATCAA